GACTTAATCAAACTACAAGAGAACAATTAGGGACAAAATTCACAGGTATGCTAGAGTTGAAATATATTACCATTCATGGTACTTCTGAACTATAATTTAAAGCTAAATTGTCTATATCATCTTACCACAGATTTTAAAAGGATAATGAAGAAAATCAATTTAACTTTAGCTATACCAAATACATACTCCGACATCATTAATAAAATGTGATTAATAAAACAGGCCAAGTTCAAATTAGTACTAAAGTAGCCAACCCCAGAAGCTGTGAAAATATTAAAGCACCATGATATTATTTGGGAGATGGGGTAGGAAGACAATACCTGCCTTCAAAGGAACAATACACCAAAGAGACAATCTGTAGCATAACGGTTAAGAGCACAAGCTCTGGAATCAGGCCACTGATGAGTGAGAATCTTGACTCCACTCTGGGCAAGTTACTCTGTGCCTCAGTTTCCTGACCTGTAAACTGGGGATAATAATAGTACCTACCTGCTAGTGTTGCTGGGAGGGTTAAACGAGTCATTATATGTAAAGTGCTTAGAAGCCTGCCTGGCACTATGTAAGTAAGATTTATTATTAGGGAAGACAGGAGTTTGCAAACAAAACAAGGTAGTGAAAGAAAAAACAAGCGAAATGGGAGCGCGTGGGCTGAACATGGAACAGTCAGTCTCAAGATGAGACGCTGGAGCAGAGTTACTGCAGAAAATGCTTCTCACATTTCTGGCTAAAAACCTGATCCTCAAGTTATATATAAGAATTCTCTTTTACTATCAATCTCAGACAATGTTATAGCATAGGAGTCTAAGACTTTAAATTTTAGCAGTGTTTTCACTTTAAAATACCATAGTCTTTCATATTAGAGGATCAAAATTTACTTTCGTCTAGCCCTGCTTCCCACGTGGCCCCACCGGCCAGAGTACAGCGAGGGGAGCGCTGGCAGTGCAGCCATCACAGACTCGACGAATGCCTCGACCATGACTGGAAATGGTGTAATTTGTCCAAGAAGAGAAACCAATTAATTTTAAAAACAGACAATCTAACCTCAAACCATCCTTAAAAGCCTCTCTGCAGTTTTATGGTAACTCCACCCAATTACCATCTATTCCTTTTTAGGTAACCCAGGGAAAAACCTCATGTTGTCTTTTTTCTGTTCTAAATGACCGGAGGTTTGAAGGAAATCTTTCAATATGAAGTCTTTGCAAACCCTCTAATCTTTGAAATGGTGAACTTTTCAATTAGGGTGCCTTTAGCTTCACTAGCTGCACAAAGTGAAGGAGTTCTGGAACATAAATCATGATTCATCGTGCTTAGGAAGGAGGAGGGTATGCATTAATAACTTCGCAGAATTGAAGGAAATGCTGCTGAAGAAGCAAGCTAGTCCTCCTTCCGCAACAGAGTCAGTCGAGTTCCTTAATTTTCATAAGCAAACGTCGACTTTGCCATCAACACACTTGTTACCAGAAGCAAAGAGCTCTTACTTAATTGAAATGGCAGAGTATTTGCAAAGGCCCTTGCCAGAAAGCTCATTTTCAGTGGACTGATATCCGACTCTTGCTAAAGCCCAGATAAGACAGCTGAAATTTGAGAGTGCCAAGCGAATCTTCCATTCCGCTAGGTTGCTATCACTAAACCAAGTTAAATCACAACGGTCAAGTAACGCAGCTGGACTGACAGTAGCTTAGCTAAGGAAAGCCTTTGCTGACTTAGGACTTGATACCACAGTCTCCATTTCTATGCAGCGTCATTTTCAGAAAAACTACATGAAATACGTTGCTGTTCAAAACTGCATCTACAGCATGACTGTTGTCCCGGGTAAATATTTATAATATATGGGTAAGTTTAAAAACCAGGCAACAGTACAGACTTGTGATGTGGCTTACTAAGGGAACAAAAGTATAGATACAAAAATAAAATAATGTACAACTCCACCCCAAAGTATTCACTGTGGTTATTTTTGGATGGGGGGAAATGGGGGAAATCAGAAGGGATTTAATTTTCTTCTTTGTGTTTTCTAGATTTTCTAAATTTTCTACAACAGGTATATTTAGAGTTAGGAAAAAAGTTATCTGGGTGAAAGTGTTAAGCTAACAAGCAACCAAGCAAATCAAAAGATTTGACAACAAAAAACTTTTTAGTTTTGTGATAAAA